TGTTTAGTATTTTACAAGTTTCAATGAGATCCGCCCTGTCATACCTGGTTTGCAGTGTTGTTAGCCCTGTGACCCTCAACCGTTCGTGATACGAGAGATGACTTAGTTCTAGAATTATTTTGTTGCCTGGTGTTGCACTTTCTCCAGAGCAGCTATGTTTTTCTGAAGATGAGGTTTCCATGCTTGGATTCAGTAATCCAATTGAAATTTCAGAACAATGAATCAGAACAAAAGCTTATGTGTACCAGAAATTTTTAGAAATGAATCACTACCTTCTTTTCCTTAAAGTCAAAGACACGCTTGATTTCATTCACCTGGAATTGTATGGGTCTCGAACCGTGGACCTCACGTGTGTGAGGTCAGCGGTCTTCGGACTGGGCTATGAGCAGTCTTGAAAAGGGAAGTCTCCTGAAGCAGAATCCTGCTGCCAAACTGGAATTTCCTACTTTTACTGACTACTAATGAAGACCAGAGGAATTAATGACCCAAGCCCAATTCATATAAATTGTCATCCACACCTCCGTAGAAATAAACATTCCATTCATTTGTGCTGTATGGGGCTCGAACCGTGGACGCCTCGAGTGTGATGCCAACGCTCTATCGACTGGGCTATAATTTCGGTAATATGTTCACTGTGATGTGTCTGTATATGTAAGAACACGTTTTACTGAACGGGGTGAGAATAGGTTGAGCTACCTCATTCCTTTGTGTGTGTTAATACCTCAATGAACATGTTTCAATTTCAGTTTAATTTCACTGTATTTCAGGACTCTCACTGTCATAACGCCACGGCGACATCATCTCTTCCTCCTCTCGGTGTTAATATTAGCATACTGAATTTACTTTAGTCCTCTACTATGTACAGTAGTAAAGTATAATTGAAGGATGATCAGTCAGTTCCTGTGGTGACCTAACAAATCCTTCAATGGTTGATAGGCCTTAAGCCTAGCACCAAATCAACTTAATGTCTCTGTTCGCTTACCAATAAATTGGTGCTTGGGAATTAGGCGATTTAATTACATCTTTGGACTGCAGAGCCCATAGGACGTTTAATAAGCCTGACAAGCTTCCTGTCTCCAATAATAGGAAACCAAACAATAGTTATTTTAGTTCCATATAGCAAAGACATGAGCGTTTTCTGTTATTATTTATAGAAAACTGAATAAGCTTTTCGTAAGGTTAACTAGAATGTTTAAATTATTTCAATAATTGTGAACTTTTTTTAATTATTAATTATGTTAATAAAGTACATGATTAATAATACAACGTTTACGTATAGGTATTTATATTTAATAAAATGCTACTAATCATGATGAGCGTTTCTGGCAAATTTTAGGATAAATATTTTACATCTGTTAATAATACATTTTTGTGTAATACTTGTGTTTTGTGATTTATTATTAAATACTTAACACTTAGAGATTATAGCTAAAGTATATAAATACAAATAAAGTTAAAAGGAGTATTGACATACAGTTCTATTGGTTGATAGTTCAAGCAAAAGAGTGCATAAATTTAGTGGTAAATTCTGAACTTATTAAACGAAATGGTTACAAACCATTTAGTTTACCCATTAAGCTTATTTACCTGAATTTATCAATCTACAAGTTCGACGAGGATAGGAAGCCATTAGCTTGTCAGAGGACCCGACCTTTGTCTTGATGATTTCTTTCCTGTTAGTTTGTAAAATTCAGCAGTTTTGATATATACAGCTTCAGCGAATAGGTAGTACCATGGGTTTATAATAATTAATAATGAAAATAATAATAATTCATTGTGTCGGGGGACAGGAAGCCAGGTTATACATACAGTGCATGTTAAGCTTGTTCTCATAATGGGAGTATATGAGAGTATCCACAATGTGGGTACATTATGGGAGTACCCATAATGATGTCATACACCAGGGATACCTACAATAATGTCATACACTAAGGGGGGTACCCACAATAAAATCACACACCATGGGGAGTACCAACCCTAAGTTATACGCCAGAGGTACAAACAATGTCAAATACCAGGGGTATCAATAATAATGTCCTACACCAGAGGTACCAAGTAAACGCCAATAACCAGACGTACCCACACTAACCATACTTTAGTGGTATTGGTATCATACACCAGGGTGTGCACACATTTATGCTATGCACCATGCTTACCCATATTAACGACATATATCAGGGGTTATCTTGAGGTTATCTTGAGATGCTTTCGAGGCTTTTTAGTGTCCCCGCGGCCCGGTCCTCGACCAGGCATCCACCCCCAGGAAGCAGCCCGTGACAGCTGACTAACACCCAGGTACCTATTTTACTGCTAGGTAACAGGCGCATAGGGTGAAAGAAACTCTGCCCATTGTTTCTCGCCGGTGTCCGGGATCGAACCCGGGACCACAGGATCACAAATCCAGCGTGCTGTCCGCTCGGCCGACCAGCTCCTTTTACTCACATTATTGATATATATAAGGGAGGCACCCATAATAATGTCATGCACCATGGGTATCCACATTAATGTCATACGTGAGAGATACTCATATTAATACCTACACGAAGGATACCAACATTAATGCCGTACACCATGGGTACCCATTAATGCCATATATTATGGACAAGTAAAATAACGTCATCCACCAGAGGTACCTACATTAATATCATACATCAGGGGTAACCACAATAATACCATATGCCAGTGGTACTCATTTAATACCGTACAAGAGAGCATAATAATGCCGTTCACCAGGGGTACCTATAGTAATGTCATACACCAGGGGTATTCACAATACCATACTCCAGGGGTATTCATATTAATGTCAAACACTGTAGTGCCCACAATAATAATAATACCATACACCAGGGGTACTCATATTTATACCATACACTAGGGATATTCATATTAATACCATTCACTAGGGAACTCATATTAATGCCAAACACCAGAGGGAACTCATATTAATGCCATTCACTAGGGTACCCACAATAATGCCATTCACTAGGGTGGTGCACATATTAATGCCATTCACTAGGGTACCCACAATAATGCCATACACCAGGGGTACCCACATTAACGCATACATATATGGTTCCATGGTCAACGTTAAGACTTGATAAAGCATTCTGAAGACCCTCGGCTCTACACATCCTACTGGTGAATATTTGCTGTAGAAATTAGGATTTTAAATAGATATGCAGAAGTTCTGGTTTGGGAGTTTGGGGACTACCATATAAGCCTAAAGTGAATAAATATACTTTGACTTCCTGTCCCCCGACACAATTAATTTTTTTTTTAGGTTGAGGTAAGAAAATAAATTCTTATCATATGGTTTGGATTTTTGGAGTAGAGTGAAAAAACCCTGAAACATTTTCTCTGTACGTTGCCTTCGTATTATAAATTAGGATATTTATCTGAATTTGCATGAGGGCCACCATCTCTTATTACCCTCGACCGAAACAGGAAGACAGCAGCTTGTCAAGCATCGACACATTATTAATAGAAGCATATTCAATTTACGCAATTTTTTTTATGTTTTTCATGAATTTTTAATATATTGTTACCATGACCAGAAAATACGACTAGTTTGATAGGCATTACTATATCCCAACTAGTTTGTCGCCAATGCCAGCGACTTTCTCACATGACCTACTGGTATGAATCCCGCCCTAATAATTGGTCGACTAGTAAGCGCTTACGCTCGCTTTATAGTGAGTGAGCACAGTAGCAGTTGCTGGGGGTATTGTTCATAAATAGGCAATCTTGTTTGTACTGTTGTAGAACGAGATTTAAATTATAAGTCAGTCTTTTTTCAAGTTTCCCACAGAATTAGTAGTGAATAAACATTCGTAATATTAATTTCAGACAACAGAAGCATGCATGAGACTAATCAACTGATTACAGGCATTCATTCAACAAGTGCACTATATAGTCATGCAGACGACCAGTTAACAGGAACACTGTATACAGTCATGTAGACGACCAATTAAGAAAAACACCGTATACAGTCATGTGGGCGACCAGTCAACAGGAACACCGTATACAGTCATGTGGGCGACCAGTCAACAGGAACACCGTATACAGTCATGTGGGCGACCAGTCAACAGGAACACTGTATACAATTAGCAGGAACTCTTCAGCCACGAGAGCGTTCAGTCAACAGTAGCTCTGTATACAGTCATTTAGGCGATTAGTCAACGGAAATAAATTGCACAGTGGTGCAAGCATTCTCTGAATACGTAAGAGTGTTCGCTTCTCCTACCACCCCCCTTTTTTATGGTGTACACTTCATTATGCAAGGTTATACAGTTACATATTTGATTTTATACAAAAAATGAACATTAAAATGACACACAAAAAAGTTCGCTTCCTAGAGGCTGTAGATTTCCTCGAACTCCTCCGACGCCGGGCAGGAGCCGAGGATGCAGCGAGCATTCCCCCTCTGGATTGCGACACTGAGGCGCTGAATTTATATATATATATATATATACATATATATATATATATATATATATATATATATATATATATATATGTCGTACCTAGTAGCCAGAACGCACTTCTCAGCTTACTATGCAAGGCCCGATTTGCCTAATAAGCCAAGTTTTCATGAATTAATGTTTTTTCGACTACCTAACCTACTTAACCTAACCTAACTTTTTCGGCTACCTAACCGAACCTAACCTATAAAGATAGGTTAGGTTAGGTTAGGTAGGGTTGGTTAGGTTCGGTCATATATCTACGTTAATTTTAACTACAATAAAAAAATTGACCTCATACATAATTAAATGGGTAGCTTTATCATTTCACAAGAAAAAAATTAGAAAAACTATATTAATTCAGGAAAACTTGGCTTATTAGGTAAATCGGGCCTTGCATAGTAGGCTGAGAAGTGCGTTCTGGCTACTAGGTACGACATATATATATATATATATATATATATATATATATATATATATATATATATATATATATATATATATATATATAATATAATATATATATGCAATACGGTTTCAATGCACACAATAAGTTTATAGTGACTTTCTATTCACTGAAATTCGTTGATAAACTGAATGAGGGGTTGATAAACAAGGTAATAGGCGTTCTCTGCCCAAAGGAAGTCCATATGGTTGAAGCCTCGCAGAGGGACCATGTAATTGGTGGCTACACGGGGCAGCTCCGCCGCCGTCTGCCTCAAGTCCTGCAACACGAGGGAGGGTAAGAGAGGGTCGTTCACTGCACGGGGGAAACACTCAACACAGGAAACTCAACAGTTACTAACACGTGATCTCTCATTGGCAACTTATAGAGCATTGAATGAGAACATTCACAGATAAGGTAGTAGAGAGAGAGAGAGACAGACATAGTTGTAGAAATATTGTAATTGGAGACATGCCTTTACAAATTATTTATTTTATCCTAATGGAAACAATATATCTAAGAGTATGGGGAAAATAACTAACTACAAAGTAATACTAATATGATGGTTAATTTTAACCTACAACCGAAGATAGTGCTTAGCTTGCAGAAACACGAGAATGGGAAGCAAGGTGTTCTTACCAGCTTGTCCACAATCCAGTCGTTACGGGACCAATAGAGGCCGACTGGTATCTTGACCCGGCTGAGAGGGAAAGAGGGAGGCGAGGTCGTCCCGTATTTCACCATATTCTCTGCTTCGCCGTAGTCAAAGGCCTGGAACTTGCCTGAAAAGTAAAGGTACATTTAAGAAATAAATTAGCTTTCACGCCTGAAATTTCTGTAGCGATGAATAGTTTCGGGGCCGGAAATAATTTAACGATGTCAAAAGCATACTTAGATTAAGGTGGAAGCATCAGAAAAATGTTTCGCCTACATTACTAAATATTAACAGAACATAACAAAATAATGACATTGATGAGAATATCACTACCCATGTCATCAAATTTGCACTAAGTTTTATGGTAAAGTGAGACGTTAAATTGATATCGAAACCATACAAAGGGATCGACATGAACTCCACAAATGGTCAGAAGACTGGCAAATGCATTTTAATATCGAAAAATACAAGACCTTGCATGTAGGGCACAGCAACCCGCGCCACAACTATCAAATTATTAACTTTACCTTGCAGCAGATTGGTGAGGAAGATGACCTTGGAGTCGAGCTCCATTATTCACTGAAATTCGCTCAACAGGTAGGAGCAGCAGTCAAAAAAGGTAACCAAACCTTGGAATAATCAAGTGTTCCTTTGACTTTAACGAAAAAAACGGTAGTGAATAATATGTAAAAATCTCATTGCAAAATTGGATTGCAAAAATCACTTGGATTATTGTATTCAATCATAGAGACCTCATCTTCAGAAGGACATAGCTGCCCTGGAGAAAGTGCAACACCGGGCAACAAGAAATATTCCAGAGCGAAGTCATCAAGAAAAATAAGTATATTCACGAAAACTGAAAACATTCTCGTTTTGCTGGCAGTCTCACATTATGTATACCACTCGGATAAAAGTGTAATACGAACTGTGTCTGAACGAAGCAAACAGGGCAAAAGGCAATTTTATGCAGTTTTCATAACTTTTCAATTTATTATTTCCGATGTTTACTCCTACTAGCAAGTAGAGGTATTCGAGATATATTGGATATAACCAGAAGAGACAAACATGTAAATTAAATTGAAAAAAAAATATAATGGAAAAGTGTTCGAATAGTGTGTCAGTGGGCAGGCCTTTATCAAAGGAAAGCACGTTTGATGATTAAGTTGAATTCAAAGCACTGAATTCTGTATTATAAGAGAATGGAGATTATTAAGAAGATTATCAAACAATCTCCATAAAGGAAGAGAAGAGGCATGGCGTATCTGGTGACAATAGGAATTATCTTAAGAACGACAATTTTCAGGAAGAACAGCAAATGTGATGTGAGGAGTTGGACAAGAATGAGAAAAGCAACTTACGAGCAGCTTGGATCTGTAGTAGGTGCGTGAAGACTCTTAACCCCGTGCCCGCGGGCATGTGGGCGAAGATAACTGGCAAGTACTCCTGTCGGCGGAAACACGCACGTGAAGAGGTATGAAACAATCAAGTAATTAATGAAAAAAGCTGGACTACAGTGTTGTACAAGGGGTTTAAGGTGTAACTGGACTACAGTGTTGTACAAGGGGTTTTAGGTGTAACTGGACTACAGTGTTGTACAAGGGGTTTTAGGTGTAACTGGACTACAGTGTTGTAGCAGTGGTCTGGATGTAGCTGGACTACAGTGCTATACCAGTGGTCTAGGTATAGCTGGACTACAGTGTTGTACCAGTGGTTTAGGTATAGCTGGACTACAGTGTTGTACCAGTGGTGTAGGTGTAGCTGGACAACGGTATTGTACCAGTGGTCTAGGTATAGCTGGACTACAGTGTTGTACCAGTGGTGTAGGTGTAGCTGGACAACGGTATTGTACCAGTGGTCTAGGTATAGCTGGACTACAGTGTTGTACCAGTGGTCTAGGTGCAGCTAGACTCCAGTGTTGTACCAATGGTTTAGATTTTTTTTGCAGGGGTATTCGATATAGCTGGACTACAGCGTTGTAGCTATGCCCTTTAAAATTCCAACAGCTAAAACGTAAAATTGTTTCCTGGAACAGGAGTCCATATTTTATCCAATCCGTCAATAGTACCTGCGGGTGTTATCAGTTTTGAAAGTCAGTTTACAACAATAACAAAACTCGTGAGAATGTATTTAATTCCGGGAGGAAGAAAAATACAAGAAATAGAGGATTCGTTTTTTACTAAAAATAATGGTAAGAAGCAAGCAAAGAGCATGACGACGCCATAGGTTGGCCTCGTACTCACCCGGTCCAGGTAGTTGCTGTTCTCTCCACCAATAATAAAGTGCACGAAGATGCAAATGAAGTTAGTAATTGAGTGTGGTCCGCAGAGTGAGTTGGTGAGGGAGGAGCGGTCAGGGGTCAGCCGGAACAGCTCCACTATGCCTTGCTTCCGTAGCTCTCCCTGTAACACAATCAAGCCAGGCTAAGTAGGCGTCATTAGGTTATTTACCATCATTATCAACTTGACTAATGAAACAGTTCCAGGACCATCGTGTGATAATCTTAAACATTATGATTTGTGGGCCTTTATATTATATAAATTTTAATTTCATAATGGGGGAACGTGTCCCTTAACTCAACTTCTCAAAACAATAAAGTTCATTACATTGATAATTCTTCTACAAGCTTGTAAAGAAGTACGAACTCAAACTCATATGTACAACACAACTTTGGTGTATTAAATGCTGCATAGTAGTTATGCTGTAGAATGTTGTCATTCTGTATAGTATTGTCATCATGTATAATGCTATCATAATTATGCTACAATATTGTTATGCTGTATTATCATGCTATATAGTATTGACATGCTGTATAGTATTACAATGATGTTTAATATTGTCATAATAATGAGAAACTTTCTTCAGTGCCGAAGTGCTTGAATGAAGGTGAAGGAAAGACTCAATATATGTATAAATGTACAGAATTAAAAACTAATTTTCAGATGTAACCTACACCCTACCTCAAGGTGCTGTATACAATGTTCAGAACAATATTCGAGTGATTGATTGATAAAGATTAAGCCACCAAAGAGCTGTCACGGGGATGAGAAGGCGTTTATAAATCAGATCACAGCGCTAATGAAGGACGCCAAGTGGGGCGCTGTGATCAGACTTATAAACACACGCTCCTAGAATCTTGTTCAGAAAATCACCTAGTTGTACTCATCTAGTTGTGCTTGCGGGGGTTGAGCTTTGTCTCTTTTGTCCAGCTTTTCAACTGTCAGTCAACTGGTGTACAGTTTATTGAGCTCTGATACATTGTATACATCACCTTGAGAAAGTATGTAGGTTACATCCGATATTTTTTTAGTACTGTTAACGTATACATATATTGTGTCTTTCCTTCACCTTAACCATAATAGTCCTATAATATTTTCCTGCTATAGAGTATCGTCATGCTGAGTAGAATTACCAAGATTATTTATTACCGCCCCTTCTTCCAGCCAGAGGTTACCGTAATGTATAATATTATCATAATAATGCTAAAATAGTGCCATACTGTATAGTAATATCATGTTCATGTGTTCTTTTTTGTTGTTTTCATATGTCCTAAGTTACGTTTGTTTTTGTTCTTTGTTATTGTTTCAGTATCGCATATGTTCAGTACGTCGTGTTCTCAACACCTACGACGTAACCCTCACCCGCCAGAAGTTGGATCATAATGGCAACATGTAAACAGATGTTTTAATAACCCAGCTTGATAAATTAAAAGACATTCTCTCTAAGAAACACAATTGTGACGCCCGTACAGATCAATCTCCCACACTGACTAAACGTTTTCAACAGCAAATTATGTCATCTGTCGATATTACAGTTTCCTTCACCTTATCTGGCACTTTCATTTGATAATTTCACCACGTAACTCGTGCACCATAAATTTGCCAGAAAATTACATTGGTCGTGCCGGTAATGAACATATTGATGACCTACTGACATGAGACTCCTATTGTCGAACATTGAGAAATTTGAGAAAAAACTCACACGAATTAAATATGAAATAATTCATATTGTCTGATATTTTATATCTGATATTTTTATGATCTTTTTAATTATATATTATCTGATATTTTATTATCTGATATATTATTATTTGATATTTTATTTTCTGATATTTTATTATCTGATATTTATAATTATATATTATAATTCATAGCTTCAAATATTCAAATGCTTCTCCCTATTTAGTGGAGATTTTTATGAAAGTTATCTATTGTTGACCCTATTTTGTGTTGAAAGTTTTTTGTAGGTTAAATTAAATATTTGTCTATGGAGGCCTCAATATTAGATCCGGGCAGTATGAAGTCATACATCCTCCATGAACTGTAACGCAACTTGCCTATAACAGAAAACGCTACACAACTTTACTGACAAACTATTTTAAATTCTCTCTGGACTCTGACACACGAAAGACCGAGATTTTGTCCGTATCATTGCGTAACACAATACAGTATCCTTGGGTAGTGTTATTTTCTAATTGCTTATGCCTCCAAAGTGTAGCTTATGGCTTTCCATTCACCTGGGCTCTAGGAGACTCGATAGTCTCCTAGAGCCCACGCGTGTGAAGCCGAAGCTTATTATGACTCACATGAGTCCACGGTTCGAGTTTTCTAGAGCCCAGGTGAATTGAATGTTTATTTCCATGGAAGTGTGGATGACAATTTATAGCTAAGTGCTGTTATTCCCTAGACCGTTGCTTTGACTTTGCTAAGACAGCTTAGGGATGGTCTCGTTGTGTGACTAGCCCATCACCAGAGACATCTTAACAAGTAACACTGAAATAACCGACATATATAACGACAACATTAGATTTGACATCAGCGAATCGCTACTCATCAAAAAGTCAAGACCAGAATGTAACATATAGTTACATTCTACCAACTTCCAGACTCCGATCCAACGTACAGATAGGATCCAATGACTCTGCCTTAGAAACACAAGCAGCGCAAGTACTTAAGCACTTCTGTTCATGCATGTAATACCCTATCAATATCCCCTATGTTATGCCATTCAACCACTTGTTCTGTACCCTCTCACCCAATGAAAATATATGCCTGTGCAAAAGCATAGCAAATTTACGGGCTATTCATGCCCGTGCAACCTTTTGGGTGGATTAATCTTTATTAATCATGGTAAATGGAAGTTACAGCCCCGCTCCTGTGCCAGGTAAGTCCACTAAGGGCCCACCATAGCCCGTGTTGCTTGAAACTTTTTGTTTCCAGTAGCTGAATCTTAAATAACAAACAGCATGGTAAATTCTACCAGCTATTCATGCTCGTGCCACCTCTTGGGTTGCTTAATCTTTATCAATCAATCATGGTAAATTAGTTTTTGAGAATGTAAGGAGTGACCTCGCCCAACGCATCCCTAGGCGTCAGACCAAAAATCAGACCGTTCTATGTTGTGTTCGTGTCCGTTCTATATTGTGTTGGTGTGCATTCTTTGTTCTGTCCGTGTCCTATCTATGTTGTGTTCGTGTCCGTTCCATATGGTTTTCATGTCCGTTCTTTGTTATGTTCATGTCCCATCTGTGTTGTGTTCGTGTCTCTGCTATGTTGTTTTCGTGTCCGTTCTGTGTTGTGTTCGTGTCAGTTCAATGTTGTGTTTTCCTGTATTTTATATTATGCTAAGTTTTATCCTTTGTTCCCTCTCATTTTCTATTATGTGTTCTCATGTATCATGATTTCTGTGCATCATATGTTTCGCGTTTCATGTATTTTATATATATCATGTGTTTTAAAATTATGTTTTCTATATATGATGTGTTCAATAATTATGTTTTCTATGTATCATGTGTTATATGAATCGTGTGTTATATGAATTATGTGTTGCATAAATATGTTTTCTATATAGCATGTGATACTAATCAAGTGATCTATGTTATATTCTTATGTGTCATATATATTCTATTCTCGTCAGAAATGTTTCGTAACGTGTCATAGGTTCTCATTTGTGTTTATGGAGGCCTTTCTTTTATTGTGTTCTCATTTGCCTTGTGTTATAACATGGCTTCTCATATGTCATTAGTTCAGGGTTGAATTTCACCTGTCTAATGTCGTCAACTGACTTCTCACGTATCATGTGTTCTATATTTTTAACGTAGATCAGATTGAACTGAATATTCCAGTTCAGCCGCAGAGAAAAAACCACAGACGCGAACACAAGAATACCCAAAAGCTCTAGTTTCATGTTCCAGTAATAGATCACGACTAAGGTTAGAGCATAATATAACGCCCCCCCCCCCCAAATAGCCCATAACAGAACACCACCCGAGATAGCCCATAACGGAACTCCACCCAAGATAGCCCATAACAGAACTCCACTCGAGATAACCCATAATAGAACTCCATCCAAGATAGCCCATAATAAAACTCTACCCGGGATAGCCCATAATTGGTGAGAGCCCAGGCACAATCAGTAACATACTGGAGCCCCAGGATATATGTCTCTCATATCGTAACCAAAAATATTGGCCACGACCGGCTTTCGCTTTCTGTACTGAACACAGATAATGAGCGTGCCGTTGAGACCAACTGGAACACTTATAAGAGCCTTAGGCAGTGAGTTGGTCATTGTGGCTAGGAGAGGATGCAGTGTGTGTGTTGAAAGTTGGAAGCTGGTTGTATGACTGGCTGCCTGACTGAGTAAGTGGTGGAACTGACTAATTGACTGGTGGGACCAGTTGAAGGTGAAAGTGGTGGAACATGAACCTTCTGGTTGTGGGTCAAAGGTTGGGGCCCCTTAGCTTGCATTCATTTATGTGCTTCGTTATATAACTTCTGTAACATGATTTTTATGAAAATCGAAAATTAATAACTTCATCTACCTTATATTTCTGCATAACCCCCATCAAAAAAAAAAAATGAAGTAACGAAGCAAGGTTAAATTTCAGGAAGCAGTTTTAGATAAATATGTTGCATAAATTGGTGTTTTATATTGTCTTTAACTATAACTGCGGCGTGATACGTTCCTGATGTTATTAAGCCCATTTTCCAATATCCCGTTACTTCATTTATGTATGGTTTTAGTGTCTGTATTGCCGTATCATTTAATGGTTTGCAAGTACATGAACTTCCTCATGACCTCATCTACTGTATATTTCCTACATTAACATCAGAATAGTCCTGTAACCTTCTCATCATCAGATATTCATGTCACGTTGTTATTATGACTTTCTCTTAGGTAAATTGTTCACTGTAAACTTATCTAACAATATATGTTAAAATATACTAAACTATAAATGTATTAAACAGACATGAGTAAAGTTTTTGAGTTTGAGGGTCTGATTTTTTACCGACACACACCATTTAGACACACCAAATGAAGTCATTTTCGTCTGTTCCCGAAACAGTTTTGTTCCATTTACCAGCCACAGTTGCTCTGTGGTATCAAAGAGTCAAGTTAAAATACCAGAATATACATAAGATCTAATAATAATAATAATACATTTAAAATAATGTCATAAATATGTTATAATAAATGTAATATTAAAATCATAATAATGATAATGATAGTAATCATTATTTTATTAACTCATATATTATTATTATATAATAATAATATTAATAAAAATGATATTATATATGATTAATATTATATTTAACTAATATTATTATTATTTTACTTATTAGTCTATTAGTTTTATTACATATCGTTAATGCATATTAGGTATACATTGATAGCTTTCTCTCTCTCTCTGTTTTGATACTTACGTCGATCACGTCAATGTTGTGTGCAAGTAAACCGACGGGTCCCATTTTATGGTGGATGTACGACGCAGGAGCCATGGCCGCCATCACCCGCACCTTAAAACAAGGAAAACAACACGGTCAATGAGGCCCCGAGATGTCACTTTTTTTTTTATTAATACATGAGGTACATCTGCATTTGCGCAGCTACCCTAGACTATATGAAGTGGAGTTCATATAGTTTTGAGATCGTTTAGTTCAAAAAAGCTAACTACTTGTTGCTATAAAATCCCCATCACACAGGTCACGTGGAAGGCCGCGAGGAGGCGGAAGGGAAGACAACTCAGCTACATCCTCCTCCTACAAGCACTTACGGAACTGATGCACGCCCGTACCCGGACTTGCAACATATCCATGACCTTCACACTCCGATCTGGCTCTAGCTTGCCGGGCTTAACCTAGATATTAGTGTTGTGGAGCATCAATATAAGTTTGATCAGTATAGCCTATTTTCCAGGCGATGAGTCACAATAACGTGGCTAAAGTATGTTGACCACACACTAGAAGGTGAAGGGACGACGACGTTTCGGTCCGTCCTGGACCATTCTCTAGTCGATTGTGATGAGGAAGTTGTTGTATTGTTATAGATTCAGCTACTTGCGGAACTGATGCACGCCCGTACCCGGACTTGCAACATATCCATGACCTTCACACTCCGATCTGGCTCTAGCTTGCCGGGCTTAACCTAGATATTAGTGTTGTGGAGCATCAATATAAGTTTGATCAGTATAGCCTATTTTCCAGGCGATGAGTCACAATAACGTGGCTAAAGTATGTTGACCACACACTAGAAGGTGAAGGGACGACGACGTTTCGGTCCGTCCTGGACCATTCTCTAGTCGATTGTGATGAGGAAGTTGTTGTATTGTTGTTATAGATTCAGCTACTCGGAACAAGTTCCAAGTAGCACGGACTATGGTGAGCCCGTAACTTACCTGGCACAGGAACGGGGCAAGTGGCACGGGCTATGGTGAGCCCGTAGTGGACTTACCTGTCACAGGAGAGGTGCTTGATGAGGAATTGATTTGATTGATGAAGATTAAGCCACCCAAAAGGTGGCACGGGCATGAATAGCCCCTAATTGATGAGGAAGTAGAGACAGGCAATAAATAGGCAAGAGAGAGGTGAGGAGCAAAGTAAGTTGTAGTAGAGGGGAAGTAGTAGGAATAAGAACTGCAGAGGGCCTATTGACCCATACGAGATAGCTCCTATTATAACCACCGAATGAGATGGAGATAGCAATAGAAATAAGAAGAGGATAGCAAGGGAACGTAGAAGACAATGAACAGAAAAAGAGAGAGAGAGAAAAGGAAAGAGAAAGAAAGATAAATGGAAAGGTAAGCTTATGTTAGGTCACGTTTGTTAGAAAGATTAGAGCATTTGAGTATATACTGTGAAAGGGAAGAGTCCACAGCAACAAAGCCAGGACTCAAGTTCATGTTGGGTACATTGTGTATTAGAGCCGATTCAACAAGACGGCGTCTGTGTAGTGTAGAGGCTGGAAAGATTATTTTGGAGGAAGACCAATCAATGGGATGATTAGAATCCCTCACATGACAGAAGAGAGCATTGTTGGTGTCTGCAGACTTAACACTTCTCTTGTGTTTTATAAGTCTGTCATTCAGTGTAAGGCCAGTTTCGCCAAAGTATTGGAAAGAACAAGACGAACAGGAAATAGAGTAGACACCAGGGTGGTCCAGGACGGACCGAAACGTCGTCGTCCCTTCACCTTCTAGTGTGTGGTCTGGTCAATATAGCCTATTTTGTTTAGTTACTGAATGGAAAAGATAATTTGAGAGAAATGAGATATCTTCACATATTACGTGTCATCAGAGCAAGAGAAGAATGGTGAAGCTATACGGTTATTTACAACTTTAATATATATATAAACTAGGAAGGAGACTGCGGCAAGAGGCGAGGCAATAAGGCAAGACATAAGCCTCATATAATTCATATTCCCTAATTGTGTGAGGGGCGAACTATATCTAGCTCTTGGCACCCACCTCGTGGGAATTGTACGTGTACAATTCCAGCTATATATCTTCCGATTAACCAGTACCCCATTTTACCTGCTCATGAAGATATGAACAGAACAGCTTTCGCGACTTCTGGTTCAAGCTCTCTCCACGTATTTACCCAGTTTAGTCTGAGTGAACTGAGTGCACATTGTGTGTGCTGTGCGGATTAATGCACAAGTGGATATAAAAAAATATATTTAATGACCATAAACCACAGAGACAACACAACATATTGTTTACAGGGAGAGAGAATACAGCATAATGTTTACCAGGAGAGACAACACAACATATTGTTTACCAGGAGAGACAACACAACATATTGTTTACCAGGAGAGACAACACAACATATTGTTTACCAGGAGAGACAACACAACATATTGTTTACCAGGAGAGACAACACAACATATTGTTTACAACGTGAGACAACAGAGCATACTGTTTACAGGGTGATACAACACAGCATTCTGTTTACCAGGGGAGAAAACACAGCATACTGTTTACAAGGAGAAACGACACAATATACTGCTTACAAGATGAGACAACACAGCATTCTGTTTACCAGGAGAGACCACTCAGCATATTGTTTAGCAGGAGAGACAACACAGCATACTGTTTACCAGAAGAGACAACATAGCATACTGTTACCAGAAGAGACAACACAGCTACAAGAGAAATAACAGAGCATACTGTTTACAAGGAGAGACCACACAGTATACTGTTTACAAGGAGGGAAAACATAGCATATTGTTTACAATGAGATACAACACAGCATACTGTTTACAAGGAGAGACCACAGAGCATAACGTTTACAAGGGGATGTAACATTATAAATGTGGTTTTGTAGACAGCATATTATTTACAAGGTGAGACACCGCAGCATATTGTTTACATGGATAGACAACACAGCATAATGTTTACCAAGAGAGACTTCACACCATATGGTATACAAGGAAAGACAACACAGCATAATGTTTACAAGGAGAAACAAACAGCTTACTGTTTACAAGGAGATACAACACAGCATACTGTTTACAAGGAGATATAACACAGCGTAATATTTACCAGGAGAGACAACAAAGCATAATGTTTATCAGGTGAGACAATAGAGTATACTGCTTTAGACAACTCAGCATAACGTTTACCATGAGAGTCACACAGCATAATGTTTACAAGTAGAAAAAACACAGCATAATCTTTTACACGGAGAGACAACACCACATAATGTTTACAAGAAGAGCATTAAGTTTATATATGGAAACAACACATAAGAACATAAGAACAAAGGTAACTGCAGAAGGCCTATTGGCCCATACGAGGCACCTCCTATCTGCAACCACCCAATCCCACTCATATACTTGTCCAACCCGCGCTTGAAACAATCAAGCGCGGGTTGACAACAAAATAATAACACAATAATATTTTGACAAAAAATAGAGACGTCTATTTACACTGTAATAACACATTATAAAAATACCTTCAACGCTCACAAAAACAATAATACATGATGACAGAGGAACAGGACTGACCCAGGAGGTGAGATGGGGATAGTAGTACATCATGGCGAAGAGGAGAGAGTTACCCATAGAGTGGCCCACGAAGCTCACCTGGGCCGCCCCGCTGACATTGAGCACGTACCCCAGCATGGCAGGCATGTCGTAGCGAGCCATCTCGTTCCAGCTGCGACAGCGAATAAGGAGAGAGATATATATCATTATGTTAAGAGTGTGATAGCATTAGGTTATGGTATCAATGTAAATCACAGAAGGTTGCGGGATCCTATGGGGTGACCGCTCAACCAGGCAGTCTTTCACCGTGATACCCCTGTTACCTAGCAGTAAATAAGTACCTGGGAGTTAGACAGCTATTACGGGATGCTTCCTGTGTGTGTGTGTGTAAAAAAAATTGATTGATTGACAGTTTAGAGGCGGGCCGAAAGAGCAGAGCTCAACCCTCGCAAGCATAACTAGGTGAATACACACAAACTAGGTGTATACATATAAGGGCCTCGCGGCTCAATGGACAGCACTCGGGATTCCAAGTCCTAAGGGCCCGGGTTCAGTTCCCGACCGAGGCGGAAAAAAATGGACACAGTTTCTTTCACCCTGATGTCCATGTTCTAGCAGTAAATAGGTACCTGAGAGTTTGACAGCTGCTACGGGCTGCTTCCTCGGTAAGTGTGTGTGTGTGTTTGCGCATAACCATTAAAATATGTTGGATAGAAAGGCGCGGGTCCAAGAGCTAATAGCTCGATTCTGCAGACAAATTTTGAAAATACAAATAGTAAATACACACACACTTAAGTATATGCATATGTTTTTTTTACAAATGTAATTGTTAAAATTAAACCTGTGGACTACGTACGGCTAGTAGATTCCTACCTGCAGAGCCAAGACTTTAATTATGTGTAGGGTGTATGGGTAACGAGTTAAAGTCTTTGGAGATTTATGTAGCTTTCGGTAGTCAATAAACGCAAGCTTCGTACAGCCTACCTGAACTCCCAGAACTCGGGCTCCTCGGGTGAAAGGTGGACGTGACGACGGCCGTAAAAGTTTCCTCTGTTGTTGCCAATCCAGACGTCATAGCCAGCGTCAGCCATCATGAACCCTTCAGCAAAAGAAAGCTGTGATTAGCTCATATCATTGTCAATGATGGCCAATAACGAAAAAGACACCGTTAGCAATAAATTCTCACCACTTTATTAACGGCGTTGCAATGATGGTAAAGCATTTAATACATCCTAATACACCCACGAAAAGTATTAACAAACTACATTCTCGGTAACAATCATCAGGATAGTTATTACCGATCATAGAAAAATATTAACAAATGCATGAGTAAATGCTATCAAAAGCGTCCTAGCATTTCGTAAGTAATGAAGAACTATGATATATTTACTCACTATAAAGTTGGTGCTGAATGGAGAACATGAAAAAACATTTTTTTACTCTGAAACCGTATAATTTTATAACGAAATTGGGTCCATCTAATTACCTAAAGCTACATCATTGTCGCTTGGAGCGTCGACTAAAAGTGGCGTCACCTGCCACTCAGTTTCGTCTTATTTCGTTATTAAATTATATTATTTCAGAGTAAATATATGTTTTTTTTCATGTTCTACATTCAGTACCAACATTATAGTGAGTAAGTATATAATTTTTCTTCAGTACTTATGTAATGCTAGGAAGCTCCGGGTAGCTTTGAGTAACTTTGGGTAATTAGAGGGACCGGCCTTAGGACCTGCCAAGACATCACGATTGGGTACGCATAAGGACAGTCACAACCATGTGTACACCTTTTATTATTTTATGCAACACTGCAATGAAAAGAGGCTTGGAAAATTCCGTATGTGAGCCTATGTATTAGGAAAAATCAAACAAAAATCACTGAGTTACAGACGAGTGTCACTAGCACGCTTTCTTAGCGAACTACAAGATAGGCTGAAACAAAGGACAACAAATTAAGCAATTCGAACAGTAGATTTTCTTTACTGAGCATCAATATGGATCCAGCGCAGTGACATGAGAGTTACACGAGTTACGAGAGTTACACGAGTTACATCAGCCAAACCGGTTAGAAAAGACTGGATGGTGTGAGAGTTGGGGAATTCCCATAATCTTGAAAGGTTTAAGATAAACACAAATAGAGCAATGAGAGTGAATTTGTGGCTTGAGGTGCACCTAAAGTATGCATCTAATGTATTCTTTGTTCACTTTAGGTGCACAGGTGTTCTGTGCGCCTAAAGTGCACAGAACGCCTGTGAACTCGTGTGCAAAGTCCTTGCATGGAGTCTGGACAACCGCGTTGGGTATCACCTGATGATACCCCTGGTGAAAGGAGATGGTTGACACCACGGTGGCCATCGTAGGTCATCATTGCAGGCTTCTACAAGAGCGAGAAGTTAAGCATCTGGTTGTGTGTACTGAAGCTGTGACTAGTAGAAAGAGAGTTGGTGTATTCAGAGAGGCTTGGAAGAAGGCGTGAACTACTTATCTCTCAGGGGACCTGTCGCAGGCGAGTGTGAGTCAGGTCAACTGTAAGGTGTGCCGTCATGTATGCTCGATCGTCCAAAATTTCTTGAACCTTCTGAAACATTTCCCTGATAAGCAGAGAAGCTGCTCTGTGATTGGTCAGCTAAGAAAGTTGTCATTTCATAGGCTTTTGCACATCTTTGTGTTATACTAAAGAAGAAACCTTATCTTCCATGAGTCTGAGGATATGAGGTCATTCTGTAGTGTGAACCCAATCCATTCTTCTGTTTAGATAGTACTTTATATAATTATGTGAACCATCATACATACATAGATGTAATGGACAATTAGTAGAATTTGGTACTATTCACTTTATAGACAGAAAAATTAAACCTAAAATCTAAACTTGTATATTCCTAGGCCTAGTTTCGCAAATGTTTGCTATATTAGGCCTCAGAAAGCGCGTATTAGGCCTAGTAAGGTTAGATTAGATTAACTTTTAGTTGCAACATCAATACAATACCTTTTAAGGGTTTGTACAAAATCACTAGTACCTATTTCTATTTTCTAATTGTCTTTTTCGGTAATATATGTACGATGGTCCTCATCACTACTATGAGTACTACCTAAAGAGGAGGATGGGCTGGTGAGCCCTACGCAATGAGACATCTGTTGCCTCGACCAAGTCACAAATGTATCTGGAGCTCACAGAGAAGTTCTCCTTTGCTACACGGATTCCAAATCTGAATCTGCAGAAGCCTCAAATCGTGTTCTCATTGTAGTGGATATAAAAATTATAGGAACTTCATTAGTGTGGACATAGCATAACATCCTACGCGACAAAGTGTTGAGCATGAGTAACGGACTATGGAAATTTGAATCAGTGGAATCGTACGCTTAATTAAAGTTGAATAAGTGCCTAGCTTAGCTCTAATTGTGCTGCAAGTAACTAAGGAAAGCTGCATCATCACTCGGAAGTGATGATGCAGCTTCAGCTTGAAACAAAGATTTACATTTCCTTTTGCCAAATTTTGTTAATGAAACGAAACTTATAAGAATGATACATACGTAGAAAAACTAAACTGTAAAAAACTGAAGAAACTTGACAAACTTAAAGAAAACTCTATGAAATGTCTGAAAGAGTTTAACTCAAATAACTGCAAAGTTATGATTACGGTTTGAAGGAACATGTAGTCAGGTATATGAATAAGGCAGCAAACTAAAGTGTAAATCTCCCAGGAGTGGGACAAGTAAAAAGGCCTCGGTGTTGACAGCCCACCAACTTTCTTTTGTGGCATCTTTTCGGGATAACTTCAGATGTATATATATATACGGCCTCATTCAGAACTCTCTATACCACATATGTCAGATAAGTTCTGGAGTATGTCTCCAATCTGGAGTACTCTTCCAGATTGGAGGAGTACTATCCGAATATCATAATCAAGACATTTGAAAATATAATATTCCGAGACAAAAGTTAGTAGTTACGAAGAAATACTAAAGGAAATTACTTGACATCACTGAAAGAGCAAAAAGAAAGCAATGAAACACATTAGCACCATCTGCAAAATAATAAAGGGACTATTCAGGATAGACAAAAAATAGTTCATTTGAAGCAGAACAGATAAGAACACGGAGAAACGGATATATACCAAGTTACGGTATAGAATATGCAAGGGAACAAAGTGGCGGAGTTTGGCCTAATACATGAATTGATATGTAAATAGGGATACATAAACCACAAGGTTCAGAAACCCGTTCACTAGGTAACTAATGGCTAGGAGGAGAGGTTCCAGAGCTGAGGCTCAACCCCTTCACAAAAATACCATAACCCCAAACGTTAATGACTAGATCTCACCTAATGCCTGGTCCGGATCATTCATCACAAAGTCAGCGCTGGAGAGGAGAATACCATGCAGGAGGAACACTACGGGCCGCCCTCCGCTGCTACTGCTGGGGAACCAGTTCAGTAATTATGAAAATATTTTCATCATTATTATTTCTAGTGATTATGTCCTTATGCTATCAGAGACAGTTAAAAACTAAAACACAAGTAGAACATAACACACATTAAAAATCCCCCCCCCTCCACACACACACACACACACACACACACACACACACACACACACACACACACACACACACACACACACACGAGTGAATGGTCCAACAAATGGCTGTTGAAGTTCAACCCGAGTAAATGCAAAGTTATGAAACTAGGCAGTGGAAACAGGAGGCCAGACACAGGATACAGAATAGGAGATGAAGTACTTAATGAAACGGACAGAGAGAAAGATCTAGTTGATATCACAGTAAACCTGTCTCCTGAAGCCCACATGAAAAGGATAACGTTTGCGGCATATGCAAGGCTAGCTAACATCAGAACAGCATTCAGGAACCTGTGTAAGGAATCATTCAGAATCTTGTACACCACATACGTAAGACCAATCCTGGAGTATGCGGCCCCAGCATGGAACCCGTACCTTGTCAAGCACAAGACGAAGCTGGAAAAAGTCCAAAGGTATGCCACTAGACTGGTCCCAGAACTAAGAGGCATGAGTTACGAGGAAAGGCTGCGGGAAATGCACCTTACGACACTGGAAGACAGAAGAGTAAGGGGAGACATGATCACAACCTACAAAATCCTCAGGGGAATCGACCGGGAAAACAAGGACTAACTATTCAACACTGGTGGGACGCGAACAAGGGGACACAGGTGGAAACTGAGTACCCAAATGAGCCACAGTTTACGGATGGAATGCATTAGGCAGTGATGTGGTGGAGGCTGACTCCATACACAGGTTGAAATGTAGATATGATAGAGCCCAGTAGGCTCAGGAATCTGTACACCAGTTGATTGACAGTTGAGAGGTGGCACCAAAGAGCCAAAGCTCAACCCCCGCAAGCACAAATAGGTGAGTACAAATAGGTGAGTACACACACACACACACACACACACACAAAGTAGAGACAGAGAACACGTGTAGGGACCGCGCTCCTCGAATAAGTAGTCATTTATCTGGACATCACAGTGATACGGAAGAAAATCAGTGTGTAGTAACAGTACAAAGTGTTACACAACGCATAGACACTAGCAATTTAGGGGCTGTGTAGGTTTTTGCGAAGTGAACAACCACAATAGGAGTACGACAGTACGAGGAGTACTGCCTCCTGTGAGGTTACTGATTTCATTACAATTTCCTTGACTGTGGACATTGCTCCTGAGCTCTTCATCATTTCAGCAAAGGGGGCACCCATTGTAAGGGTCCCTGCCATTGCTACATCTTCTGGTACCTGGGGGTTGGTCCCCTGGGCCACAGTCTGAGGAGGTCCTGTTTTTAGGTTTATCTCCTCTTGCTCTGCACTTAGTTCATTCTGCAATTTATTTAGGAGTCCTCTTATGTCTTTCAGTTCCTCAGTGATTTCCCTCCATGCGCGAACAGTCATCTCCATCTATGACTCGTCCTGTTCCTCTCCTCCACCTGTGTTCAGTTTTCTTACCATCTTGCTTGATCACTTTTCTTTTCCCTAGCGTTTGTTAGTCTACACTAACCCCAGTGTACGTGTGTGCGTGCGTGTGGGGGGGAGGGGGGTGCGAATGTGTGGGTGAGGGTTGAGAGAGGGACAGAGGCAGGGGAAGGAGAATGTAAGACCAATCTCGGCGTATGCAACTCCAGCCTGAAGTCCATACCTAGTTAAACACAAGACGAAGTTAGAGAAGATTCAGAGGTATGCCACCAGACTGGTTCCGGAACTGAGAGGAATGAGCTACGAGGAAAGGCTAAGGGAGCTGAACCTCACAACCCTGGAAAACAGAAAAGTGGAGAAATGATAACCACCTACAAAATTCTCAGGGGAATTGACAGGGTGGACAAAGACAAACTCTTCAGCACGGGTGGAACACAAACAAGGGGGACACAGGTGGAAACTTAGTACCCAGATGAGCCACAGAGACGTTAGAAATATTTTTTTCAGAGTAGTTAACAAATGGAATGCATTAAGTAGTGTTGTGGTGGAGGCTGACTCCATACAGTTTCAAAAATAGATATGATAGAGCCCAATAGGCTCGGGAATCTGTACACCAGTTGATTGACAGTTGAGAGGCAGGACCAAGTTAGCCAGAGCTCAACCCCCGCAAATACAACTAGGTGAGTATACACACACACACGTTTCTATGACCAAGTAACACAAATTACGCAAGAAAGAGAAGGGTGGGCAGACTGCATTTTCTTGGAGTGTCAGAAAGCTTTTGGCACAGTACCCATAAAAAGCTGTTACGAAAGTTGGAGCAACAGGCAGGAGTAAAAGGTAAGGGGCTCCAGTGGATAAGAGAGTATCTAAGCAACAGGAAACAGAGAGTAACTGTGAGGGGGAGACATCGGAGTGGCGAGATGTCACCAGCGAAGTCCCACAGGGCTCTGTACTTGGACCAATCCTGTTTCTAATATATGTTTTACGATCTTACAGAGGGTATAGACTCATTCCTCTCAATGTTTGCTGATGAGGCAAAAATTGAGAAGAATCAAGACAGATGATGATAGACAGAGACTACAGAACGACCTGGACAGGCTGGTAGAATTGTCTAGAATATGGCTACTAAAGTTCAACTCAGAAAAGTGCAAAGTAATGAAATTAGGCGAAGGGAGCAGAAGGCTGAACACAAAGTACCATCTGGGAGGTGAAATGTGTGGTGGGAGATGTGGGAGGTGGGGTGTGTGTGTGTGTGTGTGTACTAAATACTTGGGGATCGTAGTCCTAATGGCCCGGGTTCGATTCCCGGCAGAGGCGGAAACAAATGGGCAATGTTTCTTTCACCCTGATGCTCTGTCCACCTGGCAGTAAATAGGTACTTGGGAGTTAGTCAGCTGCTACGGGCTGCTTCCTGGGGATGTGTGTGCGCGTGTTAGAGATATATATGTACTAGATATTATAAAAAAGGAAATATAGATTGCTAGAAAGGTGGGGTCCAAGAGCTAATAGCTCGATTATGCAGACACAAATACTAAATACAAATAGTAAATTCACACTCAGAAACAAAGAAACCAGGGTGGAAGTGCAGTACTTTGCCTTCCCTACAAACGATAGCGTCAAAGGTCTGGAAGATGGCGAGAGCTTCTTGCATGAACCAGCCCGCTACTCTCAGGAGAGAAGACGGCTGTAGGAAAGAGGCCAGTTACTTCGTCGATCCTGTTTGCATGCTGGGCTCGCGTAGAATATCCCAGAGTGTGTAGAACTCTAGTATGGTTCCCAAGCTTCACAAGCTGTTCAACATTTAACTCAATGACCTTTCAAGGGCTCTAACCAAGGCCAAATGTAGCTTAATGATGTTTCATCTTACTACATACTTTGTGACTGCGCTATCCCAGCATGCTCAGTTGATCGATGAAATAACTACAATATCAGCGATAGCATATTTCAATAATTTTCTAATGCAAATTCCGATAATAAAAAATCATCTTACGTAGCTGCTGTCGGGACGCTACTCCGATTATCCGTCATCTGGCCAAGCAACCAGCGTCCTGCTTCAATTTTGTGGAAAGTTTGTGTGGTTGGTGGTGCCTGGGTAGGTGACGGCGGGGAGCGACCATGAGGTATGCGGTGCATCTCCAGTATGTACCCATCGCCCGTGACGACCTGGTGTACCTCGGCCTGGTACCCGCGGGCCTTGATCAGCTCTGGCTGCAAATAACAAGTTTCCATGACAATTAT